CCAAGGGCCTAAGATAACCTTTACGGCCTTACCAGGCACCTGCGCTTCCTTCAACTCCCACAGATTTGAGATTTACGCTGCTTTGCTTGCTACCCAAGCACTCCTTTCTCCTCGCCAGCCTCACTGTGTTCTTCGAGGAGCTCATCACCCTCCTTCCGACAGGAAGGTGTTGGCAAGGAGCGCAGGCACAGCTGCCGCGGCACAAAAGGCTGCTCTCGCCCATCCAGAACGGGTCTCCTCACCTATCCAGAATGGGCTTCTCCTGCTCTTCTTCGGGGCTGGCGCTGCCCAGTATTCGTTTCCTGGCTTCCGCGTATTCCGCCTCCCTCTGCGCCAAGGATTTCACGGGGAAGGCCGGTCTGCTGGCGGAGTTGGGATTGCTAAGCACGCCGTTGGTCGTCGGCCTCTTCAGGATGCGGATCTGCGGGGGAGGACCCGCAGGAAGGCTGTCGTCCTGAATCACGATCGGCACTTTGGGAGGAGATTTTGATTTTCTACTGTTTAAAAGAAAAAACATTGCGTTGGTATTTGTTTTCTACAGCCAGTGTGTTTTTCGCTCTGCGTGTGAATTCCTCCCAGTCAGATGTCACTCCCATGATTAAGAGGCAGCCTGTAATAATTAAAGACCTCATTATATTTGTAACCCTAAACTAGAGTGGCAGGCGGGTTTGCAGGAGATTAGCTCAGTAAGGGACAGCAAACCAGTCCCTGCTGCGTTCAACATCTTTAAACTCAACCAAAGCAAAGGGAAGCAAACGCTGGGCAAAGCTTTTAGCACTTCTACTCCAAGATATCGGTACGAGCACCTGGATTCCATTCCCTGCAAGTACTTTTAGGGCTGCTCTTGACAGGACACCCGGCCCTTCGCTCCAACCCTGCCATTTCACTTCTCAGAGCCAGCCCCAGCCCCCGCCTCACCATTTCAATGCTTTCATGGTCCCTTCTAAGAATCAAAGGGGAAAAAATAACAACAACAACAACAGACTTATCAGAACTGATCAGAAATATTTCTGCTAGAGGACAACACCACACACCCCCCCGCCCCAACCCGAAGTAAGCAGGAAAAGAAAGTCTCACTGACGCAAGACACGGCAAGCCAATTTAGGGCCATGAGTTGGGATTACCTGACTCACCCATTTCTTCCTTTGAGTGCCTTTTTCTTACATGGCTTCCCCATAGCCGTAGCTACATCCAGTCTGGAAGACCCGGCTCTGAAATAAAACCACTCTCAAAAAGCTTTCCGCTACCCTGCTACGAATCGAAAGGGCCATCTAGTGGCATGATTACAGAGAGTCCCTATTTCTGAACTCAAGCCCAACGCGCTCTGCTCGGCTTGAAGCTGCTTCCCCACTGCTCCCACTCCCCAGGCCTTCACACGTCCTACAGCACCGCAGGAAAGTAAGTTTTACCGAACTGTGCAGCACCGTTACCTTTCCTTCTGTGTGATCTTCAGCTTCTTTTCCAACCGTCTGTCTATTTCCTAGAAAGGAAGGCGAGAGAACAAAAACCTGAAGGCTTGTCTGGGAGATTGGAGTTCGAGCCTGTCTACGCAGTCATTAAATTTCACTCTTCCATACAGCGATCCTACAAAGGGGGCAGAGAGAGCGTGCACCTCCCTCTGAGGATGACTTGCAAATCAAGAGGCAGAGAACAGAAAAGCCATCACATACACTCCACTGTAGCCACTACTACACCTACAGCAGGCTGCATATTTTGCATATCATGGTAAGAGGGCAGCTGCGAGGCGCTCATCTTTCATTTTAAGGACTTCATCCGGCAAGAAAACTCCATCCAGGGTAAAGAGCCACGGGAATACACAGCAAGGTATTCCCAGATCTGAGCAGGAACCAGTACCAAACCTCTTGAGCCAAGAAGCAGCAGCAGCCGCCGGCCGGGACGATCTGCATCACTCCACAGGCTTGATTTTCGTGGGGCAGCTCAGCCCCAGAAGCTGA